GTGTTTTCGGGCTTCACGGGAGTAAAATAAACCTCCCCCTGCAGAGATCTAGCAACCAAGCTGCCTTGAGATGTTAGGTGAGAAGAAAATCAAGATTTATCTGAGGTTGGCTACAGAAATAAGATCAAAGATAATTGGGACAAATATCTGAATAGTTAAACTCTAGCACGTACTATAAGAAACCACAAATATCTGTTTTATGAACTTGCCCTGTGAAGATATTTGTGTTGTCTCTCCCAAAGACAAACACGAGTTGTTTTAGAGAATGGCACTGACTCAAATGGACAGAAAGGTCTGTAAAAATCACAAGGATAGAGAGGAAGAAGGTTTCCAATTCTACAGAAAATTTGACCAGCCTCATGCCTGAACACTAACACACCCTAAGACCAGATAGAGTAGATTCAGAGAACGTCAAGAGCCCATAGATGGGAATGGTACCATGTATGGAATTATTAAAATTTGCTCTTGTTGAATGGTGGAGAAGTGGCTCCTCTAATTCATTTTCTTCATCCAAAATAATCTGAATAGAAAAAGTGTCAATTAAAGAAAAACATCCTGATCGTGCTTCTGAGGTTGATTCCAATTTTCTCAGTTTTTGTTATACAAAATGTATGATTTTAGCTAGATGTATAGAATTGAAAGTGATATTTCAGATTCACATCTTGATAAACTGAATAGGACAATAAACAAAACAGTGACCACTAGATAAGATGTGTATGCTTCTTGTCCTCGTCCCCTGGGCAAGGAAATTGACAATTTGAAGAGGAGGGAGTATTCAGTTCTGTAAAACACTCCCTTGGATAAAGGATTAGATTCAGGAAGAATTTGAATAGCCATTTCAGCCAAGATCCTATATCAAATTAGAAAAAAAATGTATCTCCAGAGCAAGTATCCTGGGGAACAAATAAGCTGTGATAACATTGATCACCAAAGCTTTTTATGCTTGATATATTGTATATTTCACTGAAGTTTTTACTTGTCAGACTGCCCTCCATCCCCTACAATGCAAGCAGAGGAGTATCTGTTTTGATAGTTGTGTCACTATAATCACTCCAAAAGACAGTTTGGCAGTTTCATACAAAACTCCACCTATTCTTACAGAAGAGCCAGCAATCACACTCCTTTCTATTTTCCCAGATGAGCTGGAAACTTATTTTCACACAAAAACTTGTACATGGATATTTATAGAGCTTTACTTATAATTGCCAAACCTTGAAAGTAACCAAGATGTCCTTCAATGGGTGAACATATAAACCATGCTACGTCCAGACAAGGGAATATTATTCAGCAACAAAAATAAATGAGCTATCAAGCCAAGAAAAGGCATGCAAGAAACTTAAATGCTTATTGCTAAGTGAAAGAAGCCAATCTGAAAGGGCTACAATACTACATGATTCCAACCACATGACATTGTTGAAAAAATAAAACTATGGAGACAGAGAAAGATCAGTGGTTGCCAGAGGGGTTAGAGGGAAGGAGGGATAAATAGGTGGCATGTAGGGGATTTGTAGGACAGTGAAACAATTGTGTATGATACTGTAATGGTGGATCCATGTCAATTACATTTGTCAAAACCCATAGAATGCATAACATAGTGAAGTCTAATGTAAACTTTAGCTAATAAAAATATATCACAATTGGCTCATCAATTGTAAAAAATGTATCACACTAAAGCAAGATGTTAATAGAGGAAACTGGGTGGGTAAGGTTAAGTGGATATATGTGAACTCTACTTTTGCTTAATTTTTCTGTAAACCTAAAACATCTCTATAAAGTAATATATGTTAATTAAAAAACTTCACTTGAAAAGTGGGGTTCTTCAAATATTGTCATGGCTTTCCCTGTAAAACCTCAAAATATCTCCCTAAAGTACACCTGGTAATGTATTGACACATATTAAAACAGCTTCAATGTTTCAGTTTTGTCGTAAACGATGAGCGTGTTCCAGAAGAGTCTGGCAATAGGAAACCTCCTTATTTTGTATAGGATTCTCTAAGGACTACGTACTGAGATGCCAAGAAAGTGCAGAGATGTTGCTCAGAGACTTGGTTTGAGATGGAAAATTGTCAAATGCAGTTCAAAAATTGGAAAATATAGTTTCACCGGTATGAAAGACTAGTTTAGTCGGCCAATCCAAATACTGACTGCAGGTCTCAGGTGTAAAAGCACTCACTCAGCTTTAAAATACCCAAAAGACTTCTCAGCTGAGAAGTTATTCCCTGGGTTGGCTTTATAGATGTCAGTGTCCAATACAGATGAATATATAAATGTATATATGCGTTAAGGATTTTCTGAATCCTTATCAGCTGGGCAAGACTTTTTACCTAAGATCTAGGAATATCTCGGAGGGTGGTACCAAGGGGAAATTCAAGATCTGCCTTTTCATGTTTCCAATGGTTTAGAAAAATCATGCATCTAAAAGGTAAGTTAGAATAGTTTAGTGGTTAAAACCGTAGGTTGTGCAATTAGGGTCCCTGGATTTCAAAGCAGGCTTTACATACTTATCAGTGATGTGACCTTGGCAAATTCCTTCAGTGTCTGAGTTCCTTTCTGTGTAGAAATGGAATACTAACAATAGCTATTTCCTATACTAGCTGTGACTCTTAAACTGATAATCCATGTAAAGTGGTTAGAATAGTTTTTAGGAAAATGTTTAGCACACTGTAAGCATTGATAAATATTTGCAATTATTATTTTTACTATTACTGCTATATTCCTCATTCCTGTGCTGACACGTGACATGTCTTCTATTTAAATATACTGACATATTCTGTGTGGTTGTCACACAGCGACACCAGGCTCTTCCGGGAGACAAAGCCTCAGTCTTAGGAGGCTCATAAAGTTGTGGTTACACTTCCATATTTTTAACGAAATAGCCATTCAAGAAATCTTTCCCTTGGTGTTTCATTAAAAGCCACTTCATCTATTCTCTGTGTCTGTCTCTTGATGGGAAATTTTGTCTTTTTTTTCTCATCTAAGTTTCTGGAGAGAGAGAGATAAAGGAAGCAAAGCCTCAGTCTTAGGAGGATCATAAAGTTGTGGTTACACTTCCATATTTTTAACGAAATAGCCATTCAAGAAATCTTTCTCTTGGTGTTTCATTAAAAGCCACTTCATCTATTCTCTGTGTCTGTCT